AAAAAATTAGCTGGGTGTGCTGGCACATGCCTTTAATCCCAGCTACTTGGGAGGCTGAGGCAGAAGAATTGCTCGAACCTGGGAGGTAGAGGTTGCAGTGAGCTGCGTTTGCACCATTGCACTCTAGCCTGAAAGAAGCAAGACTCTGTCTCGAAAAAAAAAATTTTTTTTCAATAAGATGTACACATTCATGTAAGAAGATATACTGAAGGCTGGATTGCTGTATTGTTAATAAAACAATCAGGCAATCATCTTAGCTGGAAAAATACGAACTTACTGGTTTTATAACCAGAGTACTTGGCTCTTAAACGGTATACCCATTTTCAACATGATGTATGACAATATAGCATAGATTCCTATAGAAAAGCTTAGAGAAAGTGAAAATTTATTTACTCATCTTCAAGACAATCCCAATTCTGTCTTATTTTAATTCAGTTCCCATCAGAATCAAAGCCTCTCCATAAAACTGATACTTCCTAAAAGCTTGTAACAAAATTTTTATCAACTATCAATATTATCATTATCATGCTTAGATAAGATACTGCAATTTTAGTCTTTCAGGCTGTATTTTTGAGATGACATTCCATTAAGAATAAGGTTACCACTTGTCTTGGTTTTAGAACTGAAAGTCCCATGTCCTGGGATCCCCAGGATGGTTAATCACCCTAACTGAGAAGCAGAAGCCCACATGTATAGTAGCCTTACCTTGTCATCATGTGGATCATCTACAGTGAAGTCTTGTAACTCATGAGTAATAACCTCAAGAAATGGACTTTCTTTCTTAATGTTGTCAGAGACGCTTTCTCCACCTCTGAGTTTCTGGGGCTGTTTCTTCAGAGGTTCATCCTTTGTTTTTCCTTTCTTCCCCTTCTTCCCTTTTTCTTCTTTGTTTGAACCTGCAGACTTTAATTCATAAAGGAAACATCATTCATTGTTGTCAGTATTTTCAATACTGTCAATAGTTTAACAAGAATGTACTGAATGCCTGTCATATGCTAAGCAGTGGACTAGATGCCCATTTGAAAAGCAAAAGAAGAAATGTTTTTAGATATTATTTACCCCCAGCAATTTCATGATAAGTTCACGGTCTTCTTCATCCTGGTCTTTGTATTTTTCCTTCATTTTTTTCATTTTACTCTAGAAAATCAGAAGATTTTTGTTGGAAAAATTCAGCAGTACAAAAATGTCAACAAACACTTAGAAAAGGTGCTACTTTATATTCTCTGTCAAAAATGCTTACTGAATAAGGCACTGTTATACTAAACAATATGAAGGCTACAAAGATGGATAACCGAAGTTCTCGTCCTCAAGGAATTTACCACAGGGTGGAGAGAAGATACATAGAGAACTAAGGATAAATTAACACAACATAAAGAACTGTGAGGAAGAAATAAAGTAAAACAGTACTGGAAAAGACAGTCTAAAAAGGAAGAGAATAGTAATCAGTAACAGCAAGTCATCACATTTGGCTGGAGTCGGGGTACACATGGAGGAAGAAAACGAAATAAAGCAGCAAAGCTAGGCTAGGCACTTATTCTAGAGGCTTTCAAGACTCTGAATTTTATTACATAAACCAAGGATTCTTTACCCTGATTACATACCCAAACCACATTAAGGGCTTTAAACTATAAACATCTAGGCTCCACTCCTAGAGATTTTTGTCTTGATTAATTGTATTAGCTGGGACCCAAATAACACATTTCTAAAGTTGTAAAGACTTCTTGGCTGGGTACGGTGGTTCACGCCTGTAATCCCAATAATTTGGGAGGCTGAGGTCAGTGGATCATGGGGTCAGGAGTTTGAGACCAGCCTGGCCAACATAGTGAAACCCTGTCTCTACTAAAAATACAAAAATTAACTGGGCATGGTGATAGGTGCCTGTAATCCCAGCTACATGGGAGGCTGAAGCAGGAGGAGGTAAAAGTTGCAGTGAACCAAGATCATGCCATTGTACTCCATCCTGGGTGACAAGGTGAGACTCTGTCTCAAATAAAAAAAAAAAGTCTTCTTTAAACAGGACACAAACACCATAAGAGAAAGGATTGATAAATCAGACTTAATTAGAATTTTAAAATGCTACTCATCAAAAAACATTATTACAAAAGTGAAACAAAGCATGCCCCAAAGTGTGAAAAGCACTTACAATACATATATCCAAGAAAGAACTTTTATTCAGGATTACAGAGAACTTTTATTTTATTTTTTTATTTTTATTTTTTAAATTATTTATTTATTTATTTATTTTGAGACAGAGTTTCGCTCTTGTTACCCAGGCTGGAGTGCAATGGCACGATCTCGGCTCACCGCAACCTCCGCCTCCTGGGTTCAGGCAATTCTCCTGCCTCAGCCTCCTGAGTAGCTGGGATTACAGGCATGCGCCACCATGCCCAGCTAATTTTTTGTAGTTTTAGTAGAGACAGGGTTTCACCGTGTTGACCAGGATGGTCTCGATCTCTTGACCTCATGATCCACCCGCCTCGGCCTCCCAAAGTGCTGGGATTATAGGCGTGAGCCACCGCGCCCGGCCTCAGAGAACTTTTAGATATCAACTAGAAAGATATGACAAACCAATTTTTTAAATAGTCACTTCAAAAAGAGGATATACAAAGATCTACTAAACATGAGAAAGTGTTCAATATCATTAGTCATCAAGGAGATTAAATAAAAGCCAAATGAGGTATCACATGTATCGCACTTCAATGACTGAAAAAAGAAAACCGGACAATACCAAGTGTTACTAAGGATGGGGTAGAACTGGACCTCTCACACACTGCTTGGTGGAAAATTGATACAAGTACTCTGGAAAACTGATTGGCAGTACCTAATAAGGCCAAACATAACATGTATGCCACAACCCAGCAAATTCCACTCATAGGTATATAAATAGAAATGCATACTTGTGAATCCAAAAGTTATGTGGGAGCCGGGCACAGTGGCTCACGCCTGTAATCTCAACACTTTAGGAGGTCAGCCAGGTGGATAACCTGAGGTCAGGAGTTCAAGACCAGCCTAACCAGTATGGCGAAACCCCCATCTCTACCAAAAATGCAAAAAAAATTAGCTGGGCCGGTGGTACATGCCTGTAATTCCAGCTACTTGGGAGGCTGAGGCATGAGAATCGCTTGAACCCGGGAGACAAGAGGTTGCAGTGAGCCAAGATCGTGCTGTTACACTACAGCCTGGGAAACGAGTGAAACTCTGTCTCAAAAAACAAAAAAGTCATGTGGGGATATTCTTAGAAAGTGGCAAGTATGAGCCTTCTGGGATGTTGGAAAGATTCCAAGTATCTGGATCTGGGTGGTGGTTTCACAGATGTGGGTGCTTATGAAAATTCACTGAGCCAAAAACTTAACATCTATGCATTTTACTATTATGTATGCCGTACCTCAAAAAAATTGAGAAAAAAATTAATATTGTTACCAATAAACTAGACTGAGAAATGGAAAACCTGATAAGAACACAATTTCTTAGAAAATACAACTTTGGAAAGCCCACTTAAAAAAAATCCCAGAAAACCTGAATAAACCTAAACTCATTACAGAAACTCAAATTAGTACTTAACCTCCTCACAATAGCTGGGCATGGCAGCACACCTTGTGGTCCCAGCTACGAGGGAAGCTGAGGTGGGAGGACTGCTGGAGCCTAGGAGGTCAAGGCTGCAGTGAGCCAAGATTGTGACACTACATCCCAGCCTGGGCAACAAAGTGAGGCCCAGTCTAAAATTAAAAAAAAAAAAACAAAACTCTCACAAAACCCAAAACATTAGGTCTAGTTTTATAAGCAAATGCTAACCAGCTTCAAGGAAAAATCTCCATTTTTTTCTTGACAGTATTGCTCTGTTGCCCAGGCTGGAGTGCAGTACATAACCTCGGCTCACTGCAACCTCTGCCTCCCAGGCTCAAACCATTCTCCTTCCTCAGCCTCCTGAGAAGATGGGATCTAGAGGCGTGAGCCACCATACCCGGCTAATTTTTGTATTTTTAGTACAGATGGGGTTTCACCATGTTGGCCAGGCTGGTCTCAAACTCCTGACCTCAGGTGATCCACCTGTCTCAGCCCCCTAAAGTGCTGGGATTACAAGCATGAGCCACTGTGCCTGGCCACAATCTCCATTTCATACAAAGTTCTAGAAAGCAGAAAAAGAGGAAAAGATCCTAAACTTATTTTATGAAACTGGTATAATGTAGACACAAAAACCAGGCAGAGAAAGTATGAGAAATTGGAGGCCAATTAATAGATTTTTCTCAAGTAATATACCATATTGACTGATTAATCAAGAAAAAAATGCAATAGGCTGGGCATGGTGGCTCATGCCTGTAATTCTAGCACTTTCAGAGGCCAAAGTGGGAGGATAATTTGACCCTAGGAGTTAAAGCCCAGCCTGGGCAAATAGCAAGACCCAATCTCTACAAATAATAAAAATAAAAATTAGCCAGGCATGGTGGCACAAGCCTGTGATCCCAGCTCTTTGGGAAGCTGAGGTAGAAAGATTGTTTAGGCCCAAGAGATTGAGGCTGCAGTGGGCCATAACCATACTGCTGCATTCCAGCCTGGACAACAGAGTGAGACCTTGTCTCCAAAAAAAAAAAAGAATGCAACAGATACAGAAAAACCATTCAGTAACATTTAACTCATCATTATTAAAAATAACTTTCAGGCTGGGCATGGTGGCTCAGGGCTGTAATCCCAGCACTTTGGGAGGCCAAGGCAGGCGTATCACAAGGTCAGAAGACTAACACAGTGAAATTTGTCTCTACTAAAAATACAAAAAATTAGCCGGGCGTGGTGGCACGCACCAGTACTCCCAACTACTTGGGAAGCTAAGGCAGGAGAATTGCTTGAACCAAGGAGGCGGAGACTGCCGTGAGCCGAGATCTCGCCACGACACTGCAGCCTGGCAACAGCGTGAGACTCCGTCTCATGAAAAGAAAAAAAAAAAAGAGGAATTGCTGAGTCAAAGGGCAGAAGTGCTGTTACAACTTTTGATGGGAATTCCCATGTTGTACACGCAAACATTTACTGAATGACTGACAACGTGGTACCTATTAATTTAATGAGTAAAAAAAAAATCCTAGGGTTTATACGGCATTTCTTTCATCACTTTTTTTTTTTTTTTTCAGATTTGCCTTTTTTTTTTTTTTTTTTTTTTTGGGTTTTTTCTTTCTCCACCTGGAATTTACTGTGGTACTGTTTTCACATGGTTAGCCATCATTTTGAATATTTCATATCTTCTTAAATGATCTGTAATTTTATCACATACTAAAATGTTAAGTATCAGGTAGTGATCCAGTGTCTAGATTTTATTATCTCACTTTTCTGTCGTTATTTCCATGTTAATAACATACTGTTGCAAAAATTCTAACATTATTTTACTACTCATAGGGAAATCCCTCATTTCCTTAGCTATTCTCAAGCATTTACTCCTTTTAAAATAACTTCAGAATTATTTTATCAAGCATTAAAATCTCAATTCTGACTAAAGTCATGTTGAATTTATATATGAGGAGAATTTATATTTTTATTATGTTGAGTCTTCCCTTCCTTATACACATGTCCATTTATTTGCAGCTCACTGGAAAAAAATTAGGAAAATCTGACCTCTATGGATGAAGGGAAGATCACAAAACATTTTTATAAAGATTATAGCCAAGTGTGGTGGCATGGACTTGTGGTCCCAGCTATTTGGGAGACTGTGGTAGGACTGCGTGAGCCCAGGAGTTCAAAGCTGTAGTGTACTACAAACATGCCTGTAAACAGCCACTATACTACAGCCTGGGCAATACAGCAAGACCCTATCTCTTAAAAAAAAAGATTGCAAAGAAATTTAAATTTTAAAAGAGGTACATTAATAAATTAGCCCACAATCCCCTCATTTTTGTATTGCTACAGCATATTTTTTTTATTATTATTTTTTTTGAGACAGAGTCTTACCATGTCACCCAGGCTGGAGTACAGTGGCGTGATCTTGACTCACTGCAACCTCTGCCTCCCCGGTTCAAGCAATTCTTCTGCCTCAGCCACCTGAGTAGCTGGGACTACAAGCATGTACCACTATGCCTGGCTGATTTTTGTACTTTTTTTGTTTGTTTTTTCTTTTATCATGAAGAGACATAAATCAATTTTTGTGCTTTTAGTAGAGATGGGATTTTACCGTGTTGGCTAGGCTGGGCTTGAAACTCCTGGCCTCAAGTGATCCACCCACCTTGGCCTCCCCAAGTGCTGGGATTACAGCCATGAGTCACTGCGCCTGCTGCTATAGCATTTTGCAGAGTGTATTACATTGTAACCAGACATGATGGCTAACACACCTCTTGTCCCAGCACTTTGGGAGGGTGAGGCAGGAAGATCACTTGAGTCTGGGAGTTTGAGACCAGCCTGGACAATATAGACCCCATCTCTATAAAAAACTTAAAAATTTCACTAATTTTTTATTAATTTTTTTAATAGCAAGCACCAGTGTGGTCTCAGCTACTTGGAAGACTGAGAGGGAAGATCACTTGAGGCCAGGAGTTAAGGCTGCTGCAGTAAGCCTTGACTGCGCTGCTGCATTCTGGCGTGAGTGACAGAGCAAGACTCCATCTTGGGGGAGTTAGGGGAGGGGAGGAAGTGTGGAAAAAGTATGTTCTATCACAAGTACTTCTTTCTTCATCATCCAACTTTAGTAAAATATGTAAGAACCCTAACCAAAATCACATTGGTAACTGAAAAATTGTCGAGCTAAATTCTCAATAAATATCAGCTCCGCAACTTAACTAGCGGGGTGACTTTGACAAACCATAATCTACTATTTCTCTTTGAGTAGAACGAGAGTTTCTGGGCAGATGATCTTAAAAATCTAAAGAACTTTTAATGGTGATCTCTATGTTCCCTAAATGCTGTATTTACTCAATTAATTTTTAGTCAAAGGAAATCACACAGGATTATTTTTTGGCTTACATTTCCTATTTCACTTCAACTTTAAAACATTAAAAGGAACCTCACAACTTAACTGTGAACCATATAGATCATTCTGAAGTTTACCTTTTGTCCTCGTTTCATTGGCTGCACAGCTGTAACATTCTTGCTTGTGTTCTGATGAGTTTCAACGTGCACAGTAATTTCTTTTTCTTTGTCCTTTCCCTCTATCACTTCTAAATTTCCTGAGTCACTTGGAAGCTTCTTCTTTTTCATTTCCCTGAATAAAAATGATACCAAAACATCTCATTCTTACAATTTCAAATTCTTAGTGCCCTAAAAAAGTTATATGGGAAAGGACACATATATAATACATAAGCAATCATGGTTTCTGCTTAACTTGATAATCACCATATATGAAGATGCTCAAAATCATCACACAGGAAAAAGATAAAAATTTTTCTTCTCTCATGAATTTATCTTTCTTTCCATCATCCAAGGTCAACATATTGTCACCCCAACTCATCCTTACTCACTAGGCACATTTAGCCCCTGAATACCTTGAGGGCCCCGCACTGGGATGAGTAGTCTTTGTATCAACATAGTCTTGGCAGGTCTTAGGCATTCAAAGAAACATTTGTTGACTGGTTGGTTGACTAAATGAATTAAAATTTATACAGATTAAGAAGAAAGGGTAAATTTTATTACTGTGATATTTTTCTTTCTTTTCCCAATGCGAACACCTTAGAACAGGTCTTCATTACATCCCACCCAGACTTCCTACAGAATCTACATAATCTGAACAAGATGGAGCTTGTGCCACCACGCCCAGTTAATTTTGTATTTTTAGTAGATAATGGGGTTTCACCATGTTGGTCAGGCTGGTCTCAAACTCCTGATCTCATGTGATCCATTTACCTCAATCTCCCTAAGTGCTGGAATTACAGGCATGAGCCAACACACCTGGCCATTAACTTCTATATTAATCTTCCTTAATTGTTTGCCTATGTCACATTCTCTTCGTATCAATTTAAAGGGCAGAGTCCAAAATCCTTAGCTTTTAAGGGCTCCGCTTTTAGTCCAAATTTACTTCTCCAATCATATCCTCTACCATTTAATAAACTTTCTCTTCCTTCTATCTCAGTCTATTTATCATTTCCGTAAAGCAGTATGCATGTTACCCCAAAGAAGCACTCCCCTTTGTTAATGCTAATTCTCCTTTGTTTATGTAACTGCTAACGTATCTTTCAGTGTGTACTTCTGATGTTATTTCCCCAAACACCTGAACTCACAGCAGTCTCTTACTCTTGAACTACTTTATCACTTTCAGATACCATTTGCATATTTATGACTACTTCCTGAATCCAGGACTCCAAACTTTAGGAGGCTGAGGCGGGTGGATCACAAGGTCATGGGATCAAGGCCATCCTGGCTAACACAGTGAAACCCCATCTCTACTAAAAATAGAAAAAATTAGCCCAGTGTGGTGATACACGGCTGTAGTCCCAGCTACTTGGGAGGCTGAGGCAGGAGAGTCGCTTGAACCCAGGAGGCAGAGTTTGCAGCGAGCTGAGATCACGAGATTGCACTCCAGCTTGGGTGACAGAGCGAGACTCTTGTCTTTAAAAAAAAAAAAACCTTTCCTAATTTCAGATATTCCTATTTATTCCTGCCAATATTATCCTAGAACCAGTCTATGTAATACACTGCAATCATTTTTGTACATGTTTATATAATAAAAGGTCTTATTACAGCAAGTCCTCAAATACCATCATTTCATTCAATATCATTTTGTTATAACTTTGATAAGAACAAAACTGATTCCTGGCCACGGCCACTGTCTGTGCAGAATTTACATATTCACTCTATGTCTGTGGGTTTTCACCAGGTACTCAGGTTTTCTTTCCCATCCCAAAATGCACATGTTAGGTTAACTGGCATTTTTCATGCCAGATGATTTCTAAATTATCCCAGCATGAGTGAGTGCAGGTGTGCGTGCCCTGCAGTGGAATGACTTCCTATTCAGGGTTGGTTCTGGCCTTTTGCCCTCATCTGCCAGGATAGGCTCTGGCCACCAATGATCTTTAACAGGAATAAGCAGTTGAAAAACAAATGAATGAATTAATATAAATGACAGTCAAAAATTCATAAAGTAAACAACAGTCCTACAAAAGTACAATAAACAATGTAGTATGAAAATGTTTTTAATGAATCTACCATATTTGTTATTGTTTTTGAACCTCAAGGTGGGAGGAGGTCCTCTACAACTTTCACTTTGCAAACAGTCCTTGATTTAATCCACTACTACAACTGCCATCACTCACTAATTCACCAAAAATTGGGTAAACAATTATCTTGCTTGCTTTTATTAAACTTCCTTAAATGCATGTACAGTTTACACTTACTTCAATGTTTAATATTAGAAGGGTTTTTGGTCTTTATTTAGAAGTTTGGTGATGGTTTTGTGACCAAAAATACGATGGAGGAACTTAACTCCTGTTTGTATCAATTGGCCCGTGGCAAAATTGGCTTCATTATACTTTGTTTCCCTTAAAGTCCAAGTTTCCAAGAACCTATTGAAAATGTTAAGTGAAGGCCAGGCATGATGGCTCATGCCTGTAATCCCACCACTTTGGGCGGCCAAGGTGGGAGAATCACTTGAGCTGAGGAGTTCAATACCAGCCTGGGCAGCATGATGAAACCCCAGCTCTACAAAAAAATATAAAAATTTTTGTAGTGGCACGTGCCTGTATTCCCAGCTACTCGGGAAGCTGAAGCAGGAGACTGCTTGAGCCTGGGAATTTGAGGCTGTAGTGAGTCATGACAGTGCCACTGCATTCCAGCCAGAAAGGAAATGTTAAGTGAGGACTACTCTACTAGATCTATTTCACTGATTATAGTGACAGATTACAGCCCTTAAACAGAAAAATGTGTTAGAGCTTAACATTAAAAACTAAAAATTTGTGGTAAATCTTGGTAAATTTACTGAAGGAAGTCTTTAAACAGCTAAGTAATCTGTGATAGCTAAGCTGTCAATTAAAAAAAAAACAACACATGCTTTTTTAGTTAGATAACACAGATGTGTTTACCTTCTTTCCTTGGCTGACAAATGTCTCCGGCTCTGTGATTTACTGTCACTCTGTTAAAATAAAATAATAGGCAAATGCAAACAACACTGCTATTAATTTTTTTTTTAAGAAAACTTAAAAAGTAGAAAAGTATTCATTGAGAATAGGATATTCTTCATAAAAATGTGAAAAGAGCTTACAGAATTAGAAGATTCCTCTTTTGAAGCCAACTTCTGGAGGGACCTATGAAACAGAAGGGAGTCTCTATAAGCCTGTAAAAAGTATTCATTTACAAAGTCCCAAAACATTCCTATATCATATTCTTAAATACCGGCAATCCAACAAATTTTCAAATTTGTAAAGTTAGAAAAACATACAATCAAACTGCTTCTCTCTCCACACTTCCATATACATTTTAAAATAGGAGACATGCATTGAAAATTTACTGTGTCAGGCACTATCAGAAGGCATACATGCATAAAACCTTCACCAAATCCTATGAAAGGGATACCATTCTGTTTTCACCAAGAAGGAAAATGAAGCTTAAACAAGAAGTAACTTCCCCAGGACACACCCTAAGATGAAATACTCATGTGTCTGACTCCCAGGCTGTTCTGAATTACCCCATTAATAATGCATTTATAACTATGGACTATTCACCTGATGATCTGTGAGACATTATATAGACTAAAACACATTTCTTTGATGGAATTACCTTTGTTATGTTTTTAGCATTTATGACCATTTACTTGTTTCTATTTGGATGTAGTTTGGCCACTTTATATTCACTGTATTTTTCTACCATGGTTCTGGGACTTTCTTTGCAGAGACGCAATCAAATGGTGAAAAAGTAGTAAGACAATGGAGGGTAAAAGTACTGATGTAAATTTTGGTATTATCTTTGTAAGGATTACGTCATCATCATTCTCAGCTTACACAATAATACCTAAAATTAGATTTTTAAATTACCTTTGAGGCTGAAGGTGAGACAAGTCAATGGTAGTATCAGGGTAATTTAATGTCTCTTCCCCTTCATCCTTCATTTCAACAACCAGGTCCTGATCTTTTCTAACCTCTTCATATTCTCCTTCATCTTCAGAGCTTTCTTCCTGAATGAGTTCCTCATTTAGTTCTTCTCTACCACTCTGAACAGTGATATCCTCTTGGTCAACCTGAGTCATGAGTTCTATGTCTACAGGAGGAGTTTCATGTTCCTCTTTATCCTCCTCACTGCTAGTGTCACCTCCATCTGTGGAATTACCATAAGGAAAGTCAGTGTGGGACTACCAACCAAGCCAGGTGATTTCCTGAAAACTTCGTAAAAATATTCCATTGACTGTCTCTCCCATATTTCTCCAGAAGATCACCAGAAAAATGCCTGATCATTCCCAAACAGTACTCTTAGACAAAAGAATAGCCTGTATCATGAATAGGTTGAATTAAATGATCTCCAAGATCCTTTACCACAAGAAATTTCTTTGGACACTGCTACCCTTTCAACAAGGAAAACCACAACTTTGCCTCAGTTGGATATTTCCAAAAAGCAACATAGTAAAATCGTTGTATAACTGTTGCTGCTTTTATAATGTGCATACGAAAACTTAAATACATGTTATATAACTCACACATAGCAGGTGCTCATTCTTTTGCAAAATGAACACTGTCTAATAGTAGTGTTCACCTGCACTACTGCTTCACCTGCAAAATGAAATGCCACCACTCATCTGACAAGGGTGGTTGTGAGAATAAAAAATAATGCAAATAAGGCACTTTATATAATCCCAGGGACACGGTGAGCCTCAATCAATGGAACCTTGCAGAACAACAGTAATAGTAAATGAGACAATGCAATAATACCTGTAAAAAGGAATGACCTTAGGAGAGAGAATAACTACAAAAGTAGTTTAGAGTATTTTCCCTCGTTCCCTTAGGTAGGCAGGTAAATTTATTCCAGCAAGTATAATTGCTCTCTACTTAAAACAAATATTTTATTAAATCAAGCCAAATTCTCACATTAGAAACTGCACTTGTTATAAATTCATCTATCACTTCTAATTCCTAAACCCAAAAGTAAATGCTAATCCACATTTACCCAAGTCTATCTTCTATCTTTATTAAACACATTTATGCATTAATCATTCAACACTGAAGTTTCACTATATAAACATATATTAAAGTATGTTAGTATGGACCCAATTACTTTTTTTTTTTTTTTTTTTTTTGAGACAGGGTCTCATTCTGTTGCCCAGGTTAGAGTGCAGTGGCAGTGGTGAATCTAGGCTCATTGTAACCTTTGCCTCCCAGGTTCAAGCCAACCTCCCACCTCAGTCTCTTGAATAGCTGGGACTACAGGCGCTCACAACACCTGGCTGATTTTTTTTTGTAGAGATGGGGTTTTGCCATGTTGCCCAGGCTGGTGTCAAACTCCTGAGCTGAGCTCAAGCAATCCACCTGCCTTGGCCTCCCAAAGAGCTGAAATTACAGGGATGAGCCACAACGCCCAGCCCAATAAATAATTTTAAATTCACTAGAATAAGTATATTTAGCATTTCCAAAAACAAAATTCAGTAAAACTGACAGCAAGTACTTTGAGTTTTGGGGTATTTTTTGATATTCAGATTATCCCAAAAGAGACATAATCTAAGGATTTAGAAGCAAAACTAAATAACAAAAAAAAAATCACAAGCTAATTTCTTAAAATCTATAAACTACCTAATTGTTCCATTTCTTCTGATACAAGTTCACTTGTGCAACTTGCCAGTGTCTCCATGTCTTCATCCTGTACTCTGACTTTTCGCTCACCCCGATGTCTCCAAACACAAGACTCATCTACCTAAAGAAATAGTTATTTTTCAGTGATGGAGCTTTAGATAAGACTAATGAAAATCAGGAAAAAATAGATAAATAACCAAGAAGCTGAAGAGTACCTTAAAAAGGAAGCTAAATCCCATCATTAGATATGAAGGAGGAAGAAAATTCTTTTTTCCTACAAAAGATAATGTACATACATGCTTTAAAAATCAATTTTCTCCAGGTTTTGCTTGCAAAACAAAAAAAAATTAGTGTCAGATGACATTAAATTGTCATATCCATTGTCTTTTACTATGTCATGAATAACATTTCCCATTTATAGAACTGGGCCGTATGTATAGGGAACAATTAAGAAGAAAAAAAAATACATGCTTGGTCTGATATTTTCTGGGTTAGTCAGACCCTGAATATTCTATTTTCAGAAATAAGTTTGGGCTATACTTTCTTACCCTTATAACTAAACTCTGTGAAAGTGCATTCCTCTCAATAAAAATATACATGAAGAAGATATGACAAATAGTCAACTTGCCGCATCAAGGCAAAAATTTCCTTACTTCATAACAGACTTCATATAGGAAAACTGGATAATTAGTTTCTGTTCTGAGAGTATTTGTAAATTGTCCTCAAACATGTCTCCATAATCCACTAACAAGTGTAGGGGTATTTTTCCCGTCAAGTCATTACCTCTTATCATGAAGCTTCCTGTTGTCAAATATTCTCCAGTTGGTGCTGTTTTAGATACCTGAAGAACACAATAATATTCTTATTATTTAAAATACGCTGGATTTTTTTTTTTTACTTGAGAAGGAAGTAAAGTCAGAGTCAAGTAAGCCACACTGTCTCCTAAAAAGTTTGTAATTTAGCAAAAATTCTAAATACTGAAGGGAAAAGATAATCCGTTTAACGACAGATAACCCTTTGGAAGTAACAAAGAAATAATAAAGGAGTCACTACATCAATAATTTTCTTTTTTTCCTTTTTTGAGATGGAGTTTCGCTCTTCTTGCCCAGGCTGGAGTGCAATGGTGCGATCTCAGCTTACCGCAACCTCTGCCCACCAGGTTCAAGTGATTCTCCTACCTCAGCCTCCTGAGTAGTTTGGATTACAGACATGTGCCACCATCCTTGGCTAATTTTTTGTATTTTTAGTAGAGATGGGGTTTCTCCATGTTGGTCAGGCTGGTCTCAAACTCCCATACCTCAGGTGATTTGGGAGGCCTGCCTCGGCCTCCCAAAGTGCTGGGATTACAGGCGTGAGCCACCACACCTGGCCAATTTTATCTTATTTTTTTTGAGACAAAGTCTCACTCTGTTGCCCATGCTAGAGTGCAGTGGCACGATCTCGGCTCACTGCAACCCCCACCTCCTGGGTTTAAGAGATTCTCCTGCCTCAGCCTCCCAAGGAACTGGGATTACAGGCATGCACCACTATGCTGGCTAGTTTTTGTATTTTTAGTAGATACAGGGTTTCACTATGTTGGCCAGGCTGGTCTTAAACTCCTGACCTTGTGATCCGCCTGCCTTGGCCTCCCAAAGTGCTGGGATTACAGGTGTGAGGCACCACGCCCAGCAATGACAGCCAGAACTGGTCTACTCATCTCTTCCAGCATGAGATATAATGAAAAAACTAAGGATAGTTTAATGTGCTCATCATAAAGCTATGTTTACTAAAAGAAAGCTCTGTTTACTAAATAAGATCTTTTTCTAAGATACTGTTTTTAATAATAAAGTAACCTTTTACTTTACAAAATAAAGACGATAGCAGATTTTTAAAAATATATCCTAGTTTGGCAAAACAGAAAGTGAGTCAACTTTATCCCACAATTAAAAAAAAAATTTTATACATCTGTGAAACCCCCAGATCTTGAGAGTACCTTTATTAGTCATAGTTATTAAAATTTCAAGGGGCCAGGTGTGTTAGCTCATGCCTGTAATCCCAGCACTTTCAGAGACAGAGGGAGGAGGATCACTTCAGGTCAGGAGTTTGAGACAAGCCTAGCCAAGACGGCAAAACCCCATCTCCACAAAAATAGAAAAATTAGCTAGGTGTGGTGGCGCACACCTGTGATCCCAGCTACTCAGGAGGCAGAGGCAGGAGAATCGCTTGAACCCAGGAGGCAGAGGCTGCAGTGAGCAGATTGTGCCACTGCACTCCAGTCTGGGCAACAGAACAAGACTCCATCAAAAACAAACAACAACAACAAGAACAACAAACCAGCAAGGGATTAAAAACACACTAAATTTCACTCTAAAAATTTTCTTAATAAAAGAATTAAAACCACTTTTATAACAGTATTGAGGTAGCAATTTATAATCTCCCAATATGACAATATCGCAGCACAGCAGATAATGAAACTAAATCTAAGCGAGTATAGTGAAACTGAACTCTTTATCCTGCTGTACAGCTTTAGAAACTTGTAAAAGTACATCATCATCAATTAGAATTCTCAAAAGCATAATAAGAAATCAATAACAATGTGAGGTCAAATACAGAACGAAGTATCACTAAACTGAACAGCACTGGCTGGGTGCCGTGGTTCACCCCTATAATCCCAGCACTTTGGGAGGCTGGGATAAGAGGATCACTTGAGGTCAGGAGTTAAGAACAACCTGGCCAACATGGTAAAACCCCATTTCTACAAAGAAAAAAAAACATACAAAAAAAAAAAAAACCACACAGTAACATCATTAATCACAAAGAAGGGCAATTACTAAAACCAAGTACATACACAAAACAAAACAAAACAAAACAAAACAAACAAAAAACAGGATATACCTACTTTTCTGGAAGGGCTCAAGAGAATTCAGAATATTCCAACAAAGATGAACAGGAGAAAGGCCTTTTAGGTCAGTATGCCAATAACGATCAATAATAACTGGAACATTCTTTATCCTGTATAACTGTGTGGATCACTCTCTTCATTTACTTCTCTGCTCAAATCCTACCTTCCCAGAAAGGTTCTTCCAATACTTCATCCAAAATGGTAGCCCCTATCACTCTCTATCCCCTTCCCTGCTTTTAAAAATACATATTTTATGGCACTTATGACCTGACAGACATTATGTACGTATTTTCCTCTACCAACAAAATGTTAGCTCTATCAAAAGTACAGCCTTGTCTGCTTTATTTACTTCTATGCTCTCAAAATTTGGCACACAGTAGCTCTTAGTAAGTTAAGAAAAAGGACAACAGCCCCTTATTACCTGATGATGGTACACCCACCAAGCACTAGTGATAACTCGTGCATCCCAAGCAGCACTGTAGCAAAGTGCCATTGTGCCAGCTTCAGTCAAGGTCCGTGGGGGAATGGGTTCTCCTGGAATAACAATCCATAATGTTTCAATACCAAAGTGTGGACTTTCTCCAGAGCAAGGTATGAAAATCACATACCTACATGACAAAGTCATTCATGTATCTTAAATACTAATATGTTTTTATTTTACCATTATAAAAAGCTACTATTTATATTAAAAATGTATTTTTGATATTGCTATTTACAGAGCAAGCTTTTAAATGACCTATGTAAATATAACATGTCAGAGAAGAAATGCCCTCTCCATCAATAATTCTAACTTCATTCCAGAAAAGATTATTTAGAGAAATCCATTTAAAGTTTGAAGAATTCCAAAATTAAAATAGCTTGGCTGAACCATCAAAATGAAGAACATATGATTAATATGTCCCTTATGGTTAGATCTCAAACACTTTTAAATTGGGGTATAGTTCATATGCCATAAAATTCACCCCTGTAAAGTATACAATTCTATGGCTTTTTGTTTTTTCATAATGCTGTGTGATGATCAACACCAATTAATTCCACAACATTTTCATCATCCCAGAGAAGAAACCCTATATTCATTAGTAGCCACACCCCATTTCTCCTCTGTACCCAGGCCCTGGCAATCATTAATCTATTTTCTGTCTCTATGGTTTTGCCCATTTTGGACATTTAATATAAATGTAATTATATGGGGAGGGGAGAAAAATTTTTTTTAAATGTAATTATACATAGTGTTTTATGTTTGGCTTCTTTCACTTAGCTTAATGTTTTCAAGACTCAACCATGTTAAAAGTACATATAAGTACTTCTGTTCTTTTTAAGTCTGAATAATATTCCATTATGTGGATATACTACATTTTGTTCATTCATTAATTGAATGACATATGGATTGTTTCCATTTCTTGGCTATTATAAATAATGCTGCTATCAATACCTGCAGCAAATAAGTTTAGTGTGGACATATACCTTTGCTTATCTTGGGTATATACCAAAGAGAAGAATTGCTGGGTCAATTATGTTTAACATTTTTTGGGACTGCCAAACCATTTCCCAGAGCAGCTGTATCATTTTCCATTCCCACCAGCAGGATTCTATTTTCTCCACCATCATCACCAACATCTGTTATTGTCTATTTTTTCATTATAATCATCTTAGGTATAAAGCAGTATCTTGTGATTTTTTTTTTTATGATGGAGTGTCGCTCTTATCACCCAGGCTGGAGTGCAGTGGCACTATCTCAGCTCACTGCAACCTCCGACTCCCAGGTTCAAGCAATTCTCTTGCCTCAGCCTCCCAAATAGCTGAGATTATAGGCAACCGCCACGACGCCTGGCTAGTTTTTTTGTATGTTTAGTAGAGATGGCTTTTGCCGTGTTGGCCAAACTGGTCTCGGACTCCTGACCTCAGGTGATCTGGCCTCAGTCTCCCAAAGTGCTGTGATTACAGGCAAAAGCCACTGTGCCTGGCCTCTTTTTAACGTTATTATACACTGAATTGTTTTATCAATTTCCTTTTCAGATTGTTCATTGGTAGTGTATAGAAATACAACTGATTTTTGTTTATTGATCTCATATCCTGAACATTGCTGAACTTGTTTATTAGCTCTGATAACTTACGGTGGATTCTTTAGTTTTTAAATGTGTGTGATCATATCAACTGTAAACACAGGTAGTTTTACTTCTGCCAAACTTGGGTATTTTTTCTTTTCATTGCCTAATGACCTACATAGAATCACCAGTATAATGTTAAATAGAAATGGCAAGAACAAACATACTTGTCTTGTTTCTCACGGGAGGAGGAAAGCATCCAATCTTTCAGTATTAATTATGATTGCTGGCTGTGGGTTTTTCATAAATGCTTGTTTACCAAGTTGAGGAATTTCCCTTCTATTCCTAGTTTGCTGAGTGTTTTTTTATCGCAAACAGATGATGAATTTTGTCAAATGGTTTTTCTTCATCAGTTGAGATAATCATGTACGTTTTTTGTTCTTTATTAGTAGACTATATTACATTAATTTCCATATACTGAATGAACCTTTCATTCCTGAGATAAATTACTTTGTCATAGTATACAATCCCTTTAATATGCTCTTAGATTCAGTTTGCTAATATTTTGTCAAAGATTTTTGTGTCTATATTTACAACTGGTATTGGTCTGTAGTTTTCTTGTGTTATCTTTGGTTTTGTAATACTGGCCTTGTAGAATGAGTTAGGAAGTGTTCCCGTTAATCCTAATTTTTTGGAAGAGTTTGTGATGAACTGGCATTCAACCTTCTTGGTATAATTCACCAATGAAGCCATCTGGCCTAGGGTTTTCTTTGATGAGTATTTTTTTAAAAAAATTTCTTTATTATTAATCCAATCTCTGTACTTACAGGTTTACTTCAATTCTTTGTTTTTTCTTGAGTCAGTTTTACTAGTTTGCATCTTTCTACAAATCTGTCCATTTCATTTGGTTATATAATCTGTTGGCATATATTCCCTTATAATCCTTGTGATAACTGTGAAGTCAGTAGTAATGTTCCCTATCTCATTCCTGATTTTAGGAATGTGAATCCTCTATTTTCTTGGTCAGTCTAGCCAAGGGTTTATCAATTTTGTTTATCTTTTCAAAGAACCAACCTGGGTTTTGTTCATTTTCTCTATTTTTTTTCCTATTCTCTGTTTTATTCGTTTTCACTCTAATCTTTATTATTTTCTTCCTTCTCCTTGCTTTGGGTTGTTTTTCCAGCTCTTAAGGTGCAAAGTTAGGTTACTGATCTAAGATCTTTCCTCTTTTCAAATATAGACATTTATAGCTATAAACTACTGCCCCCAAGGGCTGCTCTTCCTGCATCTCATAAGTTTTGATACATTGTATTTTCATTTCATTCATCTCAAAGAGTTTGGTGACATCTTTTGACTTCCTCTTTGTTCCACTGGTTACTTATAACTGTGATATTTAATTTAATTCATACTTATGAATTTAAAACATTTTCTTCTATTATTGGTTTCTAATGTCACCCCATTATATAAGTCAGATAACTTACTTTGTCTAATTTCAATAGTTTTAAATGTACTGAGGCGTGTTTTATAGACTATCCTATGATCTACCCCAGAGAATGTTTCATATGCACTTAAGAGGAATAAAAACAGGTTGAGCATCCCAAATCTGAAACTCCAAAATGCTCCAAAATCTGTAACTTTTTAGTGCAGCATGATAACTCAAAGACAACGCTCACTGCAGTTCGCTAGAAATGTTTTGGAACATTTTGAATTTCTGATTTTTGGATTTGGGATGCTCAACTGGTAAGTATAATGCAAATACTCCAAAATCTAAAAACACTTCTGGTCCCAAGCATTTTAGATAGGATACTCAACCTGTAGTCTGCTGTTGTTAGGCAGAGTATTCTAGAGATATTAGATTTAGTTTATAATGCTGTTCAAGTCTTCCATTTCCTTGCTGATTCTGTGTACAGTTATTCTACTTATGACTGAAAGTTGAGTATTGAAGTCCTCCATTATTATTGTAGAACTATCTCTTCCTCCCTTCATTTCTGTCAGGTTTCCTTCATGTATTCTAGGGCTCTGTTATTAGAGGCACATATGTTTATAATTGCTATAACTTCTTGAGAGACTGATCCTTTTATCATTATATCTGTGTGTGTGTATGTGTGTGTGTCACTCTGTCACTCAAGCTGATCATCCTAGCTCAGCTTTCTGTAGCTGGGACTACAGGTGTATGCCACTGCACCCAGCTTTTAAAAAAAATTTTGTAGAGATGGGGTTTCACTTTCTTGCCCAGTCTGGTCTCAAACTCCTGGTCTCAAATAACCCTCACACTTCAGCCTCCCAAAGTGCTGGGATTACAGGCATGAGCCACCACATTGGGTCCTCTATTAATATTTGTCTTACAGTCACATTAAAAATTATTTAAAGAAAGGAACAGGAATTCTGAATAGAAAGAAATGTATTACCTGTTGGATTCTTAATTACACAGCTAGTAGCTCCATGAAGATCAGCATGTACATATATGTCTCCTTAAATACAGAAAAATAAAAAATGACATTTTAAGTCCTAATTCTTTTTTTTTTTTTTTTTTGAGATGGAGTCTTGCTCTGTCACCCAGGCTAGAGTGCAGTGGCACAATCTCAGCTCACTGCAACCTCCACCGCCAAGATTCAAGTGATTCTCCCACCTCAGCCTCCCTCAGCATCCCGAATAGCTGGGATGACAGGTGCACACCACCATGCCCAGCTAATTTTTTAGGTATTTTTAGAAAAGACAGGGTTTCACCATGTTGGCCAGGCTGATCTTGGACTCCTGACCTCAGGTGATCTGCCCGCCTTGGTCTCCCAAAGTGGCTGGGATTACAGGTGTGAGCCACCACGCCTGGCCAAGTCCTAATTCTAAGTATGAGAAATGATTGCAAACTAACACCGCAACAGTAAGCTTTTAAAAATTTGACCCACAATAACTTTAGAGGACTGAAAGTTATTCTGTTAATGTAATACAACATCAAAAGTCCAACACTGCAGATTAGCTCAGCAGTACCACTCTAGGAATACTCACTTAAGATCTAAGCATCAAAACACATATTCAGCAAACCATGAACCAGCATGCATTAAATCTTTCTACTAGTTAAATCTATCAAACAAAAGAGTGCAACAAGAAAATCAATGCCTAATATTGACTGAAGAGAGAATTTTTCCATATTTTAATCTTACCTACCTGGTGTCAAGTATCTTTTCACAATTATTTCATTCTGTTGCTGATCTCGTCCACCTATAATTAGATAGTTCTCTGAGCTAATGAACCACAGAAATTTCTCAAACCTACCAAAATGAAAGAAAAATAGTTAACTTTTCTTTATAGCTGCCAATTTTCATACACTTTTTGCAAACAAAACAAAACAGGAAGCTATCCTGCCTGTGTAAGTTAAGACAAGTTGATGATGTAATTTTTTTTAAGGCATCAAGCTGAATCTTACTAAAAACCTGTAACACAAATTGCTCTAGGATATTCTTAAGACAGTCTTAGAAAGAAGAAATTAAATTCTATGTTTTAAAAAAGTTATCTCCTTACCCCACATAGCCTTCTTAAACTCAGTAACTTAGAACAATAAATTACATAAAGCCAAAGTATAAAATGTCACATGGTCCTTAGGTTTAGCTTTCTTTCAGTGAAGCACTGAATAGGCTTTAGACCACTGATAAGAAATGTTTTCCCACTCTGCTCTCAATAAATGAACATAATTAATCTTTAGATACAATATTCTTTACATTTCTTAAAATACAAAATACCAAAAATTGTCTTTAGAAGGGTAAAATTGTAACTTTTCTCAAAAGACAAAGTAACTTGGGTTTTCATGATTAATACTTGTAGGATAAAAAGCATATAGTATATAGTATGACATTTAGAAAATGACATGCAAGACAGAGGAATATAAATACCTGCTACACTATATATGACTATGGAGATTATCTTCTGTATGATTTAATCCATGATTTTTTAAAATTCTGGTTAAAAATGGTAGACTGGGCCAGGTGCAATGGCTCACATCTGTAATCCCAGTACTTTGGGAGGCTGAGGCAGGTGGATCATGAGGTCAGGAGATCAAGACCATACTGGCCAACATGGTGAAACCCTGTCTCTACTAAAAATACAAAAATAAGCTGGGTGTGTTACTGGGCACCTGTAAACCCAGCTACTCGGGAGGCTGAGACAGAAAAATCGCTTGAGCCTGGGAGGCATAGGTTGCAGTGAGCCAAGATTGTGCCACTGCACTCCAGCCTGGTGGTGACAGAATGAGACTCCATCTCAAAAAAAAAAAAGGTAAACTGAGCACAGACACTTAAATTCCCCAATATAATATCAAAAGAACTTTACCACTATTTTCTAATCCAATTTTTTGATCAGGTAACACACACTCATGGTTGAATAAAATTTTTTACTTCTATTAAGGTAGTGAGAGATCCTGCATACCTTCAGTTCCTGTTACTACACCAAAGGGGGAGCCATTGTGATTGGCTTGCTGAGTATCCATCTCGAGAGTCTTTATGCATAAAAAAGCTAAAAAATTTATCCTATCTTCTCTTTTTTAGACATAGCATAAACTGTTCTGCATACTGCTTTTTTCACCTAAAAGTGGTTTCTTCATTGCTAAATGGATGCACTTTACTTACTTAACCACTCCCCTATTGACAGTAAAGAAGTTTGTATAAAGACAAAGAGATAGGAACAAAAAGAATGGGAGAGAAAAATCATAGATGTATTTTGTAATCATCTTAGTAAAGGAATGTACAGCCAACAAGTGAATAAAAAGTAGCCAATCAAAAGAAGGCACTAAGGAAGACAAAAGAGGACACAGAACCAATGGGACAAATAAAAAGCAAATAGTAAGATGGGCAGATTTAAATCCAAATATATGAGAGGTTACATTAAATACAAAAGCATTAAATGCCCGGGTAACAGGCAAAGACTGTCAGACTAGAAAACAACAACAATTACATATATGCTCCTTTAAAATACAAAGATAGAAAGGTTGAAATATAATGATGAAAAAAGGCCAGGTGTGGTAGCTCACGCCTGTAATCCCAGCACTTTGGGAGGCCAAGGTAGGCGGATCACTTGAGATCAGGAGTTCAAGACCAGCCTGGCCAACATGGTGAAGCCTCATCTCTACTAAAAATAGAAAAATTAGCCAGGCATGGTGGCAGGTGCCTGTAATCCCAACTACTTGGGGGGCTGAGGCAGGAGAATTGCTTGAACCCAGGACGCAGAGGTTGCAGTGAGCTGAGATCGTACCACTGCGCTTCAGCCTGGGTGACAGAGCAAGACTATGTCTCAAAAAAAGAAAGAAAGATACGCCATGCAAACACTAACCAAAAGAAAGCTGATCTAGTTATACCTGACAAAGAATGAAAAAAACAGTTACAAGTTAGAAGGACATTTCATTACATATGATAAAAGGCTTAACTTCATTAGGAAGATAAAACAGTTCTATAGTTGTATCACCTAATTACATTGCCTCATATATAAAAAGCAAAAGGCCAGGTGTGGTGGCTCACACCTGTAATCCCAGCACTTTGGGAGACCCAGGCAGGCAGATCACAATGTCAAGAGATCAAGAGCATCCTGGCTAACATGATAAAACTCCATCTCTACTAAAAATACAAATAAAGTTAGCCAGGTGTGGTGGCACGTGCCTGTAGTCCCAGCTACTCGGGAGGCTGAGGCAATAGTATTGCTTGAACTTGGGAGATGGAGGTTTCAGTGAGCTGAGATTGTGCCACTGTATTCTAGCCTGAGCGACAGAGTCGGAGTCCGTCTCAAAAATAATAATAAAAAGCAAAAACTGGCAGAAGTAAAAGGAGAAACAGACAAATTTGCAGAGGAATATTATAAACTTTCTGCTAATATATTTTAAACTTCGGACAAACTCTTTAAAAAAAATACTGCTTACCGGCCAGGCAAGGTGGCTTACACCTGTAATCCCAGCACTTTGGGAGCCCAGGCAGATCACAAGGTCAGCAGATCGAGACCATCGTGGCTAACATAGTAAAACCATCTCTACTAAAACTACGAAAAATTAGCCAGGAGTGGTGGCACACGCCTGTAGTTCCAGCTACTCAAGAGGCTGAGGCAGGAGAATCTCTTGAACCCAGGAGGCAGAGGTTTCAGTGAGCTGAGATCCTACCACTGTACTCCAGCCTGGATGACAGAGTGAGATTTCATCTCAAAAAACAAAACAAAACAAAAAAAACACTGCTTACCAAAACTAGGAAATTTGAACAATCCTTACATATGCTAAAAAATCTGCATCTGCAATGAAAAGCTTTCCCAAAGAAAACTCCAGGACTACTCAGCTTTGCAGGTAAATTTCCTAAGATATTTAATAACAACTGAAAAAGGAGTACTTTCCAACTTGTTTTATGAAGCAATATGACCTTGATACTAATACCTAACAAGAACATTACAAGAAATAAAAATTAGAGGATAATCCTATCCATTAACAGAGATGTCAATCAGAGAAGGAGAAGAGACAAATACAAACAAATCTTGAAAGCTGGAAAACAAGTGATCAGACTCAAGAAGCTGAATCCTAAGCTGATGGTGAAAAAAGCAACAACTAAATTTACAATGTAAAATTCATAAAAGGCTAAAGAAATAGCAGCACAAGTACTTAAGGAAACAGAGTTTAAGATGGGAATGAAAATAGGACTGGCTAAAAGTCTGTTCAAGAAGCAGTTAGTTCCATACATCTTTCCAGCTAATTCCTATTCCATTTCCTAACAAGGCCAGAGGTTAATTTCTCTAGAACGGGTATAAAGAAGATCGCTGGACAAAAGTAAATGTGGCACAGCTATCGTCAGAAGTAATATATGTAAAACACAGCAACTAAGTGAATGAATTACTGGATCCTAAGACTCTCAGCCTATTATTCCCACTGGGCTCCCCAAATGCTGCAACGGCCAGGCCTTCACCTTACAAAGCAGGAGAGAAAAAGAATCTTTTCTGGGAAATGAGACTAGCTCACAGGAAAAGGGCTAAAGACAATGAGGATTCCACAAAAAATGGCCAAGACAGATCATTTCACAAGCTCAACCACCCAGGGAACTTCCAATCAGCATTTTAATAATCTACCATAAAATGTAAAATGTTGAATAGACAATCAAGGAGCATCAGACATTAATGAAAGTCTCTAATAAGAAAGCTGAAGACAAAAGAACCATTTAAAAGGAAACACTTGTATTCCCAGCTACTCAGCAGCTTGTGCGACAGAGTGAGACTCCGTCTCCAAAAGAAAAGAAAAAAAAAGAAGGGTGCGGTAGGGCTGTTTTGGGTATGTCAAAAAATATCAAGTTACAGTTACATAAGATGAGTAACTCTAGACATCTAATATACAGCATGAGGAATATGGTTCATAACACTGTATTATATATTGGAAATTTGCTAAGAGAGATTTTGTTTGTTTAAGATGGAGTTTCTCCTGCCTCAGCCTCTTGAGTAACTGGGATTACAGGCATGTACCACCACACCAGGCTAATTTTGTATTTTTAGTAGAGACGGGGTTTCTCCATGTTGGTCAGGCTGGTTTAGAACTCCTGACCTCAGGTGATCCGCCCGCCTCGGCCTCCCAAAGAGCTGATTACAGGTGTGAGCCACCATACCCGGCCGCTAAGAGAGATTTTCAAGTGCACTTACCACACACACAAAAAAAGCAGAGTAACTATGTGAGACAATGAATATGTTAATGTACCTGACCATATTAATCATTTCATTATGCATATGTATATAATAAAAACATACTGCAGACCTTAAATATAAATACATACATACATATATACATACATACATACATATATATCTATCTCTCAGGCAAAACCCTGTCTATATTTATATATATATGCATATATGTGTATATATATACGTGTGTATATATATACAAACGTGTATGTACACATACATATACACACACACACACCAGGTGAAACCCGTCTCTACAAAAAATACAAAAATTACCTAGATGATACGGCACACACCTGTGGTCCCAGCTACTGGAGAGGCTGAGGTAGGAGGATCACTGGAGTCTGGGAGGCAGACATTTCAGTGAGCCAAGACCATGACACTGCACTCCAGCCTGGGCGACAGACTGACTCTCAAAAAAATATCTCTCTCTCAGAAGAAATATACACATAATATATGAATATATATTCATATGTAAGTATATATTTATATATAAACATATATTCATATATAAGTATAGAATATATAGTTATATAAGTATTTAATATATTTATATATAAATATATATAGGTATTTTATGTTTATATCTAAATATATTATATCCATATATAGTATATAATATATATGCATATACAAATGTAATATATATTTATATAATATATATTTATATATAAGTATATATATTTCTTTTTTGAGCTGGAGTCTCACTCTGTCGCCCAGAGTAGCTGGGACCACAGTTGTGTGCCACCACATCTGGCTGATTTTTGTACTTTTTCTAGAGATGGGTTTCGCCTGATCTGGTCTGGTTTGTTGCCCAGGCTGGTCTCAAACTCCTCACCTCAAGTGATCCACCCACCTATGGACTCCCAAAGTACTGGGATTATAGGCATGAGCCACTGCACCCAGCCTATCCCTACCTTTATATGTTAATGCTTTAACTTTTTATTTTCTTACAAAAATAGAAACTACCTGAAAAGGAGGAGAGTTCTGAATGCTGATGTCCCTTAGGCAGAGCAATTGCATGTACCCATGTTTTCGCTTGGGAGCATCTATCCAGTAACTTCCCTTCACTTGCTTCAAGGGATTTGAAGCTAATTTATCTTCGGGATATGTTTTCAGAGGCTCAGAGAGCTACTTCAGCCACCCATTTTCTTTTTCTTTCTTTTTTTTTTTTTTTTTAAGATGGAGACTCATTCTGTCACCCAGGATGGAGTGCAGTGGCTTGATCTCAGCTCATTGCAACCTCCCCCTCCCAGGTACAAGTGATTCTTCCGCCTCAGCCTTCCGGCTTGCTACAGGCCAGAGCCACCATGCCCAGCTACTTTTTGTATTTTTAGTAAAGACAGAGTTTCACCATATTGGCCAAACTGGTCTCAAACTCCTGACCTTGTGATCCACCCAACTCGGCCTCCTAAAGGGATGAGATTACAGGCGTGAGCCACCATGCCTGGCCCCTCATTTGCTTTTGTTTGACAGCAGGCGAGTGTGTGTGTGTGTGTGTGTGT